GTAGAAGTGACCACGAGAATCATAACTTTTATTCGAGGTATTATGTATGCAAATTGGATCAAGGTACAGAGGTGTGTAGGAGGTAGGACTCAGGAAGCGGGATGTAGCAAAACATTGACGTGCTCAATGGGCGCCAAGCACTCTTAACTGGATTAGGATATCGGCCACAACGCTAGTGACTAGCGAGAATAAATTTCGAGTCGCTAAATCAGCAGATATCCAATCAGCCCACGTAGCTCAATGGTCAGAGCGTGCGGCTTTTAACCGCAAGGCTGCGAGTTCGACCCTCGCCGTGGGCTAACAATACCGTTCTCGTTCTCTTTTTTTGTTCCTCTTCATTATTATTTCCCTTCCCCGTTTACCTTTTTGTCCCTATTTCTATTTATTTCTTCAGGTTTACTTTTCTAGATCGATTATAAAGTACGTTCCTAAAATTCCAGTCTCATGAGATCTGAGTGGTCAATGAGCTATATGTATGTTATCACTCTCAAACATGGAACTGGCTAACCCCTGAACCTCCACAGCCGTACAGATTACTTGCCAGCAAGGAAAACAGAACTCCCTTCTATCCCTCACATCGGTTGAAAGCAATCCAGATATCCCATAATTCAATTAAGCACATGATTAGTAGTTGGCTGGCATGCCGACTGACTGCTGAGACCCTTTCAACAATCCAACTACGTACCAGCCTCGGTTTCGACCCTATCCGTTATTATGGCCGGCGGAACCTGGTGGCAGCATTGAAGGCAGCATTGAAATCCCTTGCAAAGCCTATATAATGTATGTCCTGATTCTTACAGGCAGCTAGCTAATGGAAAACCTGTCCACCTGTCGTGCAGGATAAACATACACTCCCCCGCGGATTTATGATGTAATTTGGTCCACCAGGATGTGCACTCCACCATCTCGACAAGCTAGCCCCAAAAAGTTTATCGAGGTTGGCACAGGTAGAGCTCTATGCACTGAAGTCTTATCCATGTACATGTACATACATACCTACCTAAGGAAGGGGAATTAATTGTAGAATCGGCTTCGGGCGGCCATACCCATACCCAAAACGTTCCCCGATCCTTGGGAGAGCACATGTACATGTACTATACATACCACCGTACTTCTATATCACCACACTCTATAAATATCCGCCCATTTATCCCCTCCAGCACATGTAGCATTCTCAAGTATCAGGGAGCAAGCAAGCTCTCTCTCCTCACTCCCACCCTCCGACTCAGGGAATAACCAAACACGATGAACACCCTTCCGGTTCCTCCTCATGTTCTCCGTTCCTTCAACCTCCCCATTCAGAGTAGTACTACCGCCCAACCTCTCCCCAGTGGCCAGGGAAACAGCATCCTCCTGCCAAACTCCAATGTAGTCCTAAAGCACATACAAGACGCTGCAGAGGCAGAACACACCGCTACAGTCCAGCATCAGCTCTACAACCTCCAGAGGAGGAGGGCATTGCTGGGGGAAAGGCGGCGGGAATATCAAGTCGCGGAGCCGTTAGCTATCACCACCAGCACTACTACGACTATTACTCCTGTTGCTGCTGTTGCTGCTGCTCCTAGTACTTCTACTACTATCAATGATAGCGAAGAGGATAGCGCGATCGGAACCCAGAGATTCGTCGCTGCTGGCACCTGGACGGCGGCACGGGTTATCCCCGGCACACCAGACCCGGGTCCTGGTCGGTGGGAGGAGATACTACGTGCTTCGAGAGCCTTACATAAGGATCTGCGGGAGTTATATGGTAAGGAAGGGCGTTTGGGCGAACTGGTGCCTTTCCTGCTTTTCATACGCCAGCGGAAAGATAGGTGGGCGAAGGGGGATCGGATAGCGTGGGAAATGGAGGAGGGGGAAAAGAGTGCTGATATCGATATTGGTAATGATATTGACATTGATGCCCGCGCCCATAGCGCTGGTGAAACTGGTATTGTGGGAGAGACTTATCGAGATATTTTCCGTCAACTTTTATCCCTGCGAGAACCCGTCGAGATGGGCGTGTCGCAGCTTGTCCATGGAGACTTGGCTGGGAATGTGCTTTTTACGAATCACGAGAGAAAATGTTCGGCTAGAAATGATGAGCGTGGGGACGACCAAGAAGACGAACATGAGGAACAGGAGGAACATGTTCCTGGCATCATTGATTTCTCGCTCTACTTCCGACCTGTGGAATTTGCGGAGGCGGTCATCGTTGCCGACGGGCTGTTATGGTATGATGCTGGCGATGAACTGGTTAGGCTGGTCGGTGTAGATAAATATCGATCGCAGATGCTAGTGCGGGCGCTGATATTTCGTCTTGTGGCTTCGAGTGAGGGGGAACGGGAGAGAGGCGTTGTTGACGAGGCGGAGCGGAATAGGTATCTGAGGGCGGTTGGGATTGTTCAAGGGTTGATCGGGGCGTGAAGGATGCAGCTATTCTAATGATAAGTATATATATATATAACTAAGGGACCCCCTTGCATCTATCATCTCATGTTCTGGATGGGATTACATTAGAATAATCAACAAGTGGAATACTATCCATCCATCCACAAAATCTCCCCGCTACAGGAGGAGGCTTTACCCCGCTCTCCTGTTCCTGGTGCCAACAAACTACGGATCGATATTTATGTTGATGGTAGGGCGTGGAGTACTTAGCAATTATTTAGCCCCCGCTCTGGAAAGGCATGTTGAAGCCCTTTCCTTTGTTCAAGAAACTACTTTCGAGATTTAAGATATACAGAGCCAGATTTTGATAAGATTGCGGGCATGAAGATAACCCAGGTATGTCAATTCTTTTTGGAAAAAAAGAAAAGTTTCTAGTTCTACTCTGCTGGGGGGGGGAATATTAGGGGATAATATTTACATCTACATTTTGTGACAAAATGCCAATCCCTGAATATATTCCTGCACCCCAGATGCAGCCAGTATTCATTATGTATATAAATATATCAAAAAAGCAGACTATCGACTATCCCGATCCCTATACATAACTGCCACAAACCAACATATATGTATATGTATATGTATACATATAAATACATCTAACCCTCCCAACAGCTCTACATCTACCCCATAAAATCCCTCCGTCCCACCGCCCTCTCCCAGTGTCGCATCACCCGCCATGGCCTCGCCTACGACCGCCATTTCATGCTGCTCAAAGTCCAGCCCGACAGAAGCCTGAAAAACATGCAGGTCTGCCACATCCAGCAAATGGCCCTGTTCACCACAGACGTCATATTCCCCGGGAGCAAGTCTGCTGAAGGCGTCGTCGCAGAGGAAGGCAAGGTCCTGGTTAGATATCAGGCACCGATCGGACATCCGGATCGGGATGTTGTTAGGGAACTGGAAATCCCGCTTGAGCCGACGGACCTTGTGGGCCGGAGGTTTCTGGAGGTCGATATGTATAACAGTAAGACTCGGGCGTACGACATGGGCCGGGAATATTCAGACTGGTTCTCTGAGTGTTTTGGGTTCGAGGTTGTATTGGCTTATCTGGGCGGGAACCGGAGGCCGGTGCTGGGCGATATCCCGCCCAACGCTGCGGCGAAGAAGATGAAGGAGAAGAGGGCAGCAGCCGAATCCCAATCTGCATCCAGCAATCGGGGCTCCGGTGGCTGGTTAACAGGAATCACCCAGTCTCTGCCGAATTTCGGAAATGACACTGGCACTGGCACTCCCTCCTCAGCAAAGGAAAATAATGACGATGCCGGCGACGACGAATGGATCACCTTCGCAGACATGGCGGCGTACCTGGTGGTCTCCGAGACCTCTCTCGGGGATGTATCCAGCCGGCTCCCCGAGGGCGAGACGATGGACGTGACTAAATTCCGCCCGAACATAGTCCTCTCCGGCGCCCCGGAGGCGTACGAGGAGGACTTTTGGGGGGAGGTCATGGTCAAGGACGATATCAGGTTCATCCTCACGGCGAACTGTGCGCGGTGCGTAAGTATTAATGTCGACTATGACACGGGTGCGCCGGGCAGCGGCGAATCGGGGACCATGCTTAAGAAATTGATGAGGGATCGCAGGGTTGATCAGGGGAATAAATATAGTCCTATCTTTGGGCGGTATGGGTTTATTGATAAGGGTTCTGATGGGTTGTACATTGGCGTTGGGGATGAAGTGGTTGTCTCGAAGAGGAATGAGGAGCGGACTACGTTTTGTAAGTCTCGTGTTTTCTTATTTATTCTATCCTCGTTTTCTTTCTTGAGGCTCCTGGATGATGGGATAGGATGAAGACTAATCCAGTTATTTAGTCTGGCCAAGGTGAAGAAGGACGTCATTATTTTATTTGGAACGGAAGCCAGACCCTTTGCAAGTGACATATGGTGTAGCCTCTATAATTTCAACCAGATATCAGGAAGCGTTGTGCTACTACAACTGCTGGTAGGCTTAACCCCCTTACATGCTCTTTTCAACATTACACATTCCATCCAACATCGGATACTCCGTCAACGGATGGTTTATTTTATGTTGCTCGGAAGAATCGGAGTTTATTTGGAAGCGGAGTTTGGCATTTATATCTACCATATATATTAGTTGATAACCCCCCTCGTAAAGGGGAAAGAAGTTATAATTATACCCCGAAGATTAAGCAGTATATTTCCATTTATAACCTTTTGCCATTCCAATGTGGATGAGGGTGATGATGGGTAATTTTTGTTAAATTGTGTGAGTGCATGAGGGTAGCGAAAATAGCGCATTGAATTTTGGGGAATTGTGAAGTAAAGGACATACCTTTTAAAAAATGGCTAAGAACGCCGCTAATAGAGAATCAAACAAATTCATATCGTTAAGAAGCAAAACCCAGCAGGAGGGGGTGCAAGGTGAAGAAGAGAGGGGGGCGGAATGCGAAAACAGGGGGAAGGGGGGATGAGTTAAGCGTTGAGGCATTTCTCTGTTATATCATCCCCTTTTCATACACAAACGCACGCACAGTCATATATATCAAGGTACATGTATATATATCACACACATATATATACATGGACATTCACAGAGTACATAAAAAATTAAATTTAGCTCTCCTCATCCGCCCACGGCAGACTGAACGTGCCCACCCAGTCCTCAACCTCCTGTCTCAACATCATAATCTCAGGGATCTCCTCGCCTTCACCAAGATACTCCAAGAACGCCTTCACGCTAGCAGGGTTCTTCCTCTTCTTCGCCTCCGCATCCGCCTTGGCAGATTTATCGAGCTTCTGCGTAATCGTCACAGCGCGATCGACGATATCCGCCACACGGACAAAGTCCTCTGGGCCGAAGCCGCGCGATGTCATCGCCGGCGTCCCAATTCGGATACCGCCGGGTTTCATGGCAGATTTATCACCGGGAACGGTGTTCTTGTTACTTGCCACGCCACATAGCTCAAGCACACGCTCAACGCGCGCGCCGTCTACGCCGCGGTTCTTCAGATCTACGAGCACGAGATGGTTGTCTGTGCCGCCGGAAACGATGTTGTAGCCCAGTCCGCCGCTGTTGGTGGGCTTTCCGAGCCTGTCAGCCAACGCCTTAGCGTTCTCAAGCACAGTCTGTTGGTATGTTTTGAATTCGTCGGTTGTGGCCTGCTGCAAGGCAACGGCGAGCGCGGTAATGGTGTGGTTGTGGGGTCCGCCCTGGTGACCAGGGAATACAGATGCATTGATAGGGTTTTCCAGGTCATACATGACTGGGTTGCCCTTGGCGTCTGTGTGGCGGACTCCCTTGCGGAAGAAAATCATAGCGCCACGGGGTCCTCGGAGGGATTTATGTGTGGTGGTTGTAACGACGTCAGAATGTGTAAATGGGGAGGGTACAACTCCAGCAGCAACTAATCCGGAAATATGGGCCATATCACTGAGCAGGTAGGCTCCGACGCTATCAGAAATCTTGCGCATGCGCGGGTAATCGATGAGCCTGCTGTATGCGGAGGTACCAGCGACGATGAGCTTTGGTCGATAGAGCTGGGCCATGTCTTCCAGTTTGTCATAGTCGATGAGGCCAGTGGATTCATCTAATCTGTACGGGAGTGTTTCGAAATATTTAGATATAGCGGAAATTTTCTTTGTTGGTGTTTGATACCCGTGGGAAAGATGGCCTCCATGGGGAAGATCCAAACCCATGATACGATCGTGGACATTAAGCAGCGCGGAGTACGCGTACAGGTTCGCAGGAGAACCAGAGAGTGCTATATGAAGCGCATTAGATTATGATTTGACGGGGAAATATGTGTATGTGTGTGTGTGTGTGTGTGTGTGTGTGCGCCAAGAAAACAAGACTCACGTTGCACGTTGACCCCCCATTCCTCCTCCTTGAGACCGAACGCCTTCAGAGCCCGCTGCTGGCACAATCTCTCAGCCTGATCAATAAATTGGTTACCACCATAATACCGTGCACCAGGATATCCTTCCGAATATTTATCTGCGAAGATGGAATTAGATTTTCATTTTTGTATCATCTATAAGGAGGGTAGGGTAGGAGGCGTACTCTGCATGACGCTTCCCAAGGCATCGAGAACAGCTTGCGACGTGAAGTTTTCTGACGGGATCAAATTGATAAAATGCTTCTGTCGGTTTTTCTCCTATTGAAGATCTCAGAAAAAAGAAGAGGCTACACAATACTGGAGTTGTATATCCATACCTGCTGGAGGATGTTGTAGACGGTGGGGTCCGCCTCTTTAAGGTTCTCCGATAAGATCTAGATACAAGGTGATAAGCAAAATGCTCACCGAAAGGAAGGCATTGGCAATAATGCAGCTATTGTAGATAAATGATAGAGACGCAAACCTTTTGATGTTCATCAGAATGAGTAGAGGAAACACCACGGCAAAAAATTGGGAGCAATCTGGCAGGATGACTCGAGCGGGCGAACTGAGCTCTTGCAGCGGAGCTTCCCGCGAGAGGAAGCAGGCCGGCAGCTCGTCTGGTATAGATATGGAGCGGCATTGTAACCAAGACAGATCAGCAGCGGGCAACAATTGGGGGAATTGGACCCTGCGTAAGTAGCTCAGCTACAGCACGAGCAAGATCAATGGAAGAATAACGCTGCAGAAGTTGTTGTCATTGTGTGTGGTTGAGTCCTCCCTCCCCCGACGCTGACCTCCGGCGAGCAGACGACATCCGGGGACACGTGATGTCGTCGGCCGATAGGGGCGGTTAATTTAGGCTATTCCGCTGTTGGCTATTTATTTACCCTTTTGGGGAGTTTGGCGGGAAATAGTTTATCCATATCCGATCTCTTGGCGTTTTTCTCCCCGCGCTTGACTCTTCTCCTCATCTTTCCTCTCTTACTCTTCCTCTTCCTCTTCCTCTTCCTCTTCCTCTTCCTCTTGTTATTTTATTCTCCTCGCACAACTAAATCCAAAATGACGAGTTGGCTTGATTGGCTGCTTCAGCTCTCGTATTGCCCGGCGGCTCCGCTGAGGCTCTACGGGCGATGCTGACATGTTCCGGGCCCCCACTCACCATCCAATTTCAAGAACAGTTTGACCTCTTCTGATTGGAAGTTGTGTTCGTCGTTCCCTGTACGCGCTTGACAGCGGTGGAATGATTTATCATTAACCTCTTACATAGCATTTACTTCTCTTCATCGATATTATTGCTTTTATTTGCGGGAATAGGTTATTGGTGTGTTGTGCCTCTTTCTCCTCACCCCCTCAGAATTGGATACCGGCTATTCTCCGATCATAGGCCTTTGCGAAAATGCAAGGCCTCGAGAGAAGTTCGTCTACTTAGAAATAGATGGGCAACAAAATGAATCGCACCCTCATGAATGACACTATCTTCTCTATACCATTTCTATCATATGCTTTCATCTTGCCTGCTGGCGTTCTTTCCTTTTATCTACCAGCCGGGCGCAACCTGTGACATATACTGTACAGCCATTTTTCAAACCAGATGCACTCGCATCTCATATCTCTTCATCTGTGAGCAAACATAATGTATCTCTAGCCATTTCACCCTACTTCACCCTACGTCACACACTCCATCAACGTGTATCTAGGACGGGTTAGGCTGGCCCAGCTTCCCATCTATCGATATTGATATTGCTATTGCTCAAACTTCCCTTCACTGGAGGACAAGATTATAATTATGCTCGCTCTCAGACACGAATGTACTGTACATATCAAACCAGATCGTGGTTCTGGTTGTGCGTGTTCTTTTCTACTATTTTCCTCCTTGAAGCACTGCTGAATACTTTTATGATGGGATAACAGGCTAATTTGATTATTTATTATGTCATGATTAGATCCCCTCGTCTCTGGGAGCGAGGCAACAATTAGCGTCGTGTTTTACTGCCTTGATATGGCCAATAGGCAAGTTGAATTCGCGGCTTTCAGCCAATAAGTAGTCAATAATTGGGGTGGTAGAAAAATACGCTAATTGTTGCCTCGCTCCTAGATGAGAGGATAGAGAAGGGGAGTTGGCTGATGTGAACAAAGGTTTTTTGAAGAGCTGAATCTCTTAGAGCCAATATTCTTCTCTTTCTTTCTTTTGTTCCTTGTTTCTTTTCAAAACAGTTGTCATGGTTAAGAGCTGCCTAGGCCAAAAAGACCATAAGACGACGACTGGTTCGTTGCCAGCCGCACCCAGCACCCATCCTTATATAGTGGTGGCTTGCTTGCCTGCTCCTGCCCCCGGCGCCCCGGGGCCTGCGCGGAGAAGAGAGAGACAAAAAACACGATTTTTTTTTTTTTCGAAAGAAGCTAAAATTAGTTTTTGACAGCTCGTACTCCGAACCGAGATGTATGGTTCGTCTTAAAAGTGTGCCTCGCCAGATGGTCCCACGGGTAGGGCCTTTTTATGGCTTTTGATGTCTGGGGTGGCATCCGGATTTCTGGGGAAATGAACGTGGTCTTGATAAAGAAGCTACGTAGTATGTAACTTAACCGCTTTGAAAAGGTAACTAAACAAACTATCTTCTCACTGACATCGTATTTGAGCCTCGGTGTTTCTCCGCCCCCGGTATCTAAATATCTTCTTTTATCCTTTTTTTTTTTTTTTTTTTTTTTTTTTTTTTTTTTTAAAAAAAAAAAAAAAAAACTTTCTTTGCATAGATATCTTCTGCTTCTTGTTGTTTGCTTTTTCATTATTGCTTTGCCTGCCTATCATTTCTTCTGCCCATTTCACCGGGCATCCGTCGAATATATACAGAGTAATAATAATGATAACCTCGATGCCCGCACGCACGCAAGACCTCGAAAAAGCACTGGGCTGAAAACAGAAACTTCTAAAAATACCGCTTAGAGGAAAATCGCATGCGCACTAATACTCTGTAGGTAAATGCAACCCCCGAACTTCGCGATGGACTGATTGACTGATTCTCTTCGCCCGGAAGGGAGGGGAGGGGAGGGCAGGGAGGCGGGCTGAGGCAGACAGACATGGATGCAATAATATTAATGCAGGTACGGTAGTTAGTTACACAGCCTTATTAGTTGTTGAGGGACTGTTAACTATAGTGTGCTCTTAATAATGTTACCCTGATCTTAGAACTGGAGTGCCTCGTATCTTCCCATGATTAGTATTTATGATTTACCCTGCCGTTCCTGCGCAACAACGTGCAAGATTCCTTCCTGATGACTATGTATTATCCAGGTAGAGAAGAAAAAGAGGTCTAGGAGGTTGCGGCTAAAAAATATAACTACCATAACTATGTACTCCGTAGCAGTGAGCCAGTTCCCCTTGTAAATAATAATACAGAGTCATCTGAAATGATTCTCGCAACGATGGAGCCGTATGGAAGAAAATAATAATAATAGGAAGACAGCAATGATCGCAACCTCGGCTTTTCCCTTTTTTGCCCCTTTAGATCGCGGACGATAGGATAGACACGAGGTACGCAGAACGTGTTGTTCTTCCACAATTCTCCGTATCCGTAACAATGATGATGATATGATGCTGTTGAAAATGTCAGGAGCAAGCAGAACGATGCACGTGACACGTGGCATCGGTGGCGAGACGAGATTGATTGGGTGGTAGTTAATATATAAATACGACGTCAGATTAAAAAAAAGCGACAAGAGAACAAATTGACATACATGATGAAGATGAAGGCGATAAGGTTCTGACGTCCCTTGGCCTCATTAATCATTATGATGATTTTTGTTGATCTATTTTATCTTCCCCCAAACAAACTCGTTGGACCATTATTGTTGTTTTCCCTGGCGGGGACTCTTTTATTATTATTCCTTGGTCATATCGACCGGACTGACGCCGGCGACATGAGAACTCCACCCACTCAGCCTCCATTGTTCAATAATACCACCAAAAGGCGCCAAAATTGAAACAGACAACAAGAACGAGGCCGAGGGAATCCAGAACAAGCAAGAGTCCTCCATAGATTTCCGCTTAGCTGTAATTTTTCAGGGGCACTATTATTATTTCGTGTTCAAACGAGCCACCAGGGGTGGGACCGCCCTTGACGCATTATTATTCCTCGTAGCAAGCAGCCAGTAGTAGTGAGGGAGCTGGAGGGAATCTGGCCGAGCTTCGGTAAGTTACACCATGGACAGGACGGACCGCCCATGCTGTGCGCAGAAGAGTATTTCTAATTAGCTAACTAACTAATGGGCTTGCATAATAATATGCAGGAACAGGGCCGCAGAACACGGTCAGAATCACAAGGTTCTCATGCCACCATGGGGATGGCTGTTCTTCGTATATGCTTTGAGCAAGATAGTTTTTGGAGTTCTGATTTCGACTATCTATACGGAGTAGTATGACCGATGATGAAGGACCCACGAAGTGATTCCCAGATGAGTTCTGGATTCTCAATTGAGGTTTTTTGAAAGAAGGATATTTCAAGTTTTAACATCCGGGCTATCCACGAGAAGTCAGTTACCTGTGCTGGATGATGTCAACTATGACCTCAGACAGATAACTATTCTTCCAGGAAATCGAATAGTTATTCAAAAAGAAGGATGGGATGGTTAGATGAATGATGCGATGGAGAGGGAGAGAAAGTTGGGTTCCTCCCGACCCCATCCGCTGATGGCCCCAGTTCCCTTGATTTGCGGCGGTTCACAACTCTGGGGCCCAAAAATCATCATAATCCGGACAGAGTGGGAATTATTTGACTCTCAGTTCTGATGTCCACGTCACTGCCAACTGGGAGTGGGAAGACTAACGGCTATTTTAACTAATCTACAGTTGTCAATCGTGGGTCGTACAACTAGCCAGCAACTGCAAGGGCCACAGACAAAATATCCGAGATAAATTCCCTTCCGTGGGAAGTTGGGAACACCTTGATTTCGCGGAGTCTGACGCAGCTGCGAACACTCACTGCTGCTCTCCAGCGGCTGGAATTTGCCCAGCCCCAATTTGACGTCCTTCCGAGTGCTTCGGTTGCAGCCACATGTAACATACGCTGCGTACAGAGCGGTCGAAGCTTGGAAGTAGCGCCACGCCTAGCAGGGATTGGCCTGCGTGCGTCGAACGAATCTCATCTTGCCCGCTGCAATTAGATTATGACATATAGAAGCTAGCTCGCCTTTAGTCGCTTTAGTGGGGAGATTGGTAAATTTTATAATACGCTGCAGTACCGGGGCCAGCCTGATGGAAGGGTAGCCGGTCCCGGGGTGGATATAGGTGGATAGCTGGACTGAGACAGCGGATGCGCCCGCCTGGCGACAGTGGCACAGAAATTAATTATATTCTTCGACCAGGACGGCTGATAACGACTGATACGGCTGGTACGATGTGTGACAGAACACTCCGTTCCCCCTTTTGTGGATCCTGCCCCTAGAACGAGCACTAAAACTAGCCTCCAGCCTAACCATCAATACCGGTCAATACCGCATCAAATACAGCGCCCTCTCCTGCTTGTACCCGGTTCCTGTCCTTCTTTTTCTCTCCTCCCTCTTCTTCTTCTTCTCTTCTTCTTCTCTTTTTTTACATCTCTTCTTTTTCTTCTCCCTCCTTGCACCGTCCCACGCTCTCTTCATCCGGTTTGTGAACCGAGTCCATTCGTTTTTGCCTCTCGTTTCCGGTGCTACCTTCAATTCCTTCTTAACGACCCCCCCAGTTCCCTTCAAACAGAGATATATAATTAATTTTTTACTTGTTCACTATCTTCATTTGGCGCTGCATCAGCCCTTTCTTCTCTCCTTTCTCTCTACGAGGTAGAAATACACACAATGCGTTTCGCATCCATCGCCTCTGGGGCGGTCTTTATCGCCAGCGCGGCGGCCGCTGTCCCGCAGCCACCTGGAGACTACTATAACCGATATCCAGTTAATCCTCCTGAATATTCTGTTTCTCCCTCGTCTTCTGCCTATCCGGAAGAACCCTCGGTGACCCCCCCTGGATACCCAACTGGATATCCTTCCTCCGCTTATCCAGAGGAGCCCTCAAAGACTCCCGCTCCTTATCCAACTCCCTCCTCTGCTTACCCAGAGGAGCCTGAGGAGACCCCGTATCCCACCGAGAGCGAGTGCGATGATGATGATGAGACTCCTTGCCCAACCGCGTCCCCATCCTCTGCTTATCCAGAGGAGCCTGAGGAGACCCCATATCCAACTGGATCTCCTTCCTCTGTTTACCCTGAGGAGCCTGAGGAGACCCCATATCCAACCGAGAGCGAGTGCGAGGACGATGAGACCCCTTATCCAACTGCGGAGCCAACCTCTGCTTATCCAGAGGAGCCTGAGGAGACCCCATATCCAACTGGATCTCCTTCCTCTGTCCACCCTGAGGAGCCTGAGGAGACCCCGTATCCCACCGAGAGCGAGTGCGATGATGATGAGACTGCTTGCCCAACCGCGTCCCCATCCTCGGCTTATCCAGAGGAGCCTTCGGAGACCCCATACCCAACTGTGACTCCTTATCCAACTGGATCTCCTTCCTCTGTCCACCCTGAGGAGCCTTCGGAGACCCCGTATCCCACCGAGAGCGAGTGCGATGATGATGAGACTGCTTGCCCAACCGCGTCCCCATCCTCGGCTTATCCAGAGGAGCCTTCGGAGACCCCATACCCAACTGTGACTCCTTATCCAACTGGATCTCCTTCCTCTGTCCACCCTGAGGAGCCTTCGGAGACCCCGTATCCCACCGAGAGCGAGTGCGATGATGATGAGACTGCTTGCCCAACCGCGTCCCCATCCTCGGCTTATCCAGATGAGCCTTCGGAGACCCCATACCCAACTGTGACTCCTTATCCAACTGGATCTCCTTCATCTGTTTACCCTGAGGAGCCTTCGGAGACCCCGTATCCCACCGAGAGCGAGTGCGATGACGATGAGACTGCTTGCCCAACCGCGTCCCCATCCTCGGCTTATCCAGAGGAGCCTTCGGAGACCCCATACCCAACTGTGACTCCTTATCCAACTGGATCTCCTTCATCTGTTTATCCTGAGGAACCCTCTGAGACTCCCTCTGGATACCCAACTCCTTCGTCCGCTTACCCTGAGGAACCAACTGAGACTCCTGGATATCCTTCCTCCGCTTCTCAGGAGCCTACTGAAGCTCCCTCTGGATATCCTTCCTCCGCTTCTCCTCAGGAACCTACCGAAGCTCCCTCTGGATATCATTCCTCTGCGTACCCACAGGAGCCTGAGCCAACTGAGACTGAATGCGAGGATGACGAGAGCCCATACCCAACCGGAGCCCCTCCCACCGTCACCGTGCGTCCCACCGTCACCGTGTATCCCACCCCGCCTGCTGAACCCTCGTCCGCATATCCAGTCCATCCCCCTGAGGAGACCCCATCTGGATATCCCACCGAGAGTGAGGCCTACCCGACTGGCGAATACCCAACCGAGACTGAGGTCGTGACCAAGTACATCACCTTCTGCCCGTCTCCAACCACCATCACCTATGGCACTCATACCTATACTGTCACCGAGGTAAATAATTCCGTCCCTGATATTCAGCCTAGCTACATTTTCTCACTGCCCCCCTTTCATCGCAATCGAGCTTCAAATTGCATGGAACCTGACTAACATTCATTCTCCAGGCCACCACCTTGACCATGACCGGTCCCATCACCATCGTCAAGCCAATCTACAGCTCCACTGTCACCGAGTGCGTTGACTGGTACGTTATTATTTTCTACTTTTCCGCCTGCCCCTGAGGAGCAGGAAAGAAAAAGAAAGAGACCACGTAACTAACATTAAAGTCTCAGCCCATACCCAACCCCCGGTCCCAGCACTCCCCCCTTCCCAACTGGCGGCTACATGACCTCCGTCCCAGTCCCACCAGTCGAGTACCCAACTAAAGGCTACCCCAGCCCATCCGGCGTGTTCCCAACTGGCGGCCCAATCCCCTCTTACCCCAGCGGTGCCTCCCGCGGCGTTATCAACGCCGGTGCTGGTCTTGTCGCTCTCCTTGCATTCGCTGCTTACCTTCTGTAAGCGGATGTAAGTGTGACGGCGGGTAGTTAGTTGTGCTTCGATGTATTTTTTTGTTGAATTTTTGGAGTAATTTTAATTTGTGCTTTTCTTTGGTGATGAGAGAGAGAGGTGGCGGTTGTGAAGGGAGAAGAAGAAGAGAAGAGTTGGATATCTTGTCTATTTAATTAGCTGATGAGGTGAGAGATAGAGAGAATTTGTTTCGTTTTTAATTTCTTTTCCCTGGTCTGTTAAAATGTCAATTGTCTCAGAATATCACTTTACATATATATGTATATTCGCGTACAGTAGCACATTTTCTTGTTAAATTTCTTTCATATACATATCTTGTAATTAAATTTTGAAGGAATTTAAACCAGTCACTCGTTGGATTGTCTTTGGCTTGAAATAAGTCTGACATCACACCATTTAGACCTTTCTTTGCTCCCGAGTATTTCCTATTTTCCAATTATGTCTACATAGTATGTTTGAAGGTACTCGGGTATCTAGGAAACCCTTCCTTTTGCTCATAGAATTCTCTCTTCATCTCTATATCTACTGTGCGGTGTTTCTATGATTGTTTGGATGGCACCACGCATCACCATACGAATTGGAACTGTTTAAAACCCAATTAACCAAGATTCTATTTCATTTTAACTTAATGCCAGAAACAGGATATTGCTTCAACCCACTCTTATAACCCACCGTATAGTTCTCGTCTACTAGGAGCTGCTAGAAAATAGATATCTGCGTGCGGACAAAACCTTCCCATCCAACTTTTCAGGCTCGACTTGTCATCAAACACCCACCAACATCATCCAACACACCATAATCGCCATCGCCACAACTAAAAATGACCCCGAGGAGATACGATCAGAGAGATAACCAGATATTTCGTGTCATACAGCTCAGCTCCTCTTCTTCCCCCAGCCAATTCAAGCATTCGCAGCCGAAGCCGAACAAACCTCACGGCATCAAGCCGCAGTCTACGGACCAAAGTCCGGGGGAGGGGTTGGGGTTGAAGATCAAGACAAGCTTTGCCAGCGGACTCCACGAATAGCAGGACGTGCTATAGGGATAAAAGCTTCAAGCCACCGCAGGGAAGCAAGCCGGCTTGGATTGATCTTTTGCGGGGGAGGGTGGAGGGGGGGACGCGTTATTTAGCCTAAATGTTCATCAGTTTGAACACTACCTGGCTATTTAATTACCGCATTCGGGGATGACAATCATAATGATGGCAAAGACGCCGACACGAAACTCGCTCAAAACTGTTCCCCGTAACACGAGTGCTTAAGAAGCGGACGGGGGTAGGTTACTCCTACAGCGAGCTGGTTTGCTTTGCACACCCCCCCACACCGCACACCCACCGCACGGTAGGGTAGGGTAGACGGTTCGGCAGTGGTTGATTATTGGCAACATCCCATGTCTTCCTTCGTCCTGCGAGCTGAAAGAAGCTACAGCGCGGACATCCCGGCCGAATGAGAATAGCTGCTGCTTACTTGCTGGCTGGCTGCTTCTGCTGCTACCTTTTTCACCAGAAAGGAGGAGAGAATAATAAGCCATCTGTTTGTTATTAATCAATGGCTATTTCATCAGATGCTGCTATCCTGTTCCCTCCGTTCCCCCGCGCTGCTGCTGCGGTCCCCATTCTTTTGCTTCGCTCCTTCGCTGCCGCCGAGTATGAAGGGAGGAAGTTTTATTTGCAAAGGGGCGAGGTACTTCCGTCGTCCTTTGATAGCTTCCCCCCGCATATCTTCTGCTGATCGGCGGCCATGCCTGGTTTCTCGGCTGTTTCTCTCTTCTTTTATTTGTTTGTGCCTCTACGGAGTACTCTCCCCGCAATCTGTAGTCGGGGGCCACGGTCACTAACTACTACTGGTGACTGTGCTGAGCAATAATGGGGTAGTGATATGATGGACCTCCAAGGTGTAGATAAATGAGGCATTTCCCCCGTAGCTTCGGGCCGCACACTGTGGGTGTATAGAGTAGGTGTCTTTTGTCTACTCTTCCCCGCTCATCTCAGCTCAGGCCAGGCCAGGGTAGCTTTCTTTTAACTGCTTCTTTCTCCTCTCCTCTTTCTGTGATATTCCCGAGTACTCTCTTCCTCTCTACTAATCCTATCCTCCGACCTTTCATATAATAATATCCCATACCTCTTTACAAGGGTGGTGGAAATAAGGGGGCAGAAGGAAGAGACAACAAAGACGAAAGCTTCAACAATGGGTTCAGGAACAGCCGACTCCGTAAAAAAGGACCACGAACATGACGAGGAGGATGTCGCTATCTCGCCCGGTCGAGATCGCGGGGAAGAAGTTGATCGCTTCACCCAGCTCACCCCCGAAGAACTGGTGCTGGAGAAGAAGCTGCGACGCAAGATTGATACGCTGATTATGCCCATTGTCATCATCGTGTATCTGATGAACTATATCGATCGGTTTGTATTTTCTCTTTTCTTCTATCTATTTATATATACCATGAGCATATCTATCCCACTTTTTCAAAGCTAACTTGAGAATTTTAGCAACAACTATGCGGCAGCCCGTCTCCAAGGCCTGGAAGCCGATCTCAAACTCACCCCATCCCAGTACCAGACTGGTCTCTCCATTCTTTTTGTGGCATATATCCTCATGCAGGTTCCCTCCAACTTGCTGCTAAACTATGTTGGCCGCCCATCGCTGTACCTGGGTTTCTTCACCACCACATGGGGCCTTGTCTCGGCCCTGACTGCTCTGGTCACGAACTACGGCCAGATTGTCGCTTGCCGGTTTCTTCTTGGTTTAGTTGGTGTGTTTCCTCTATTCCATTTTCTGCATTAAAAAAGAAAAAGGGAGTTTCCAATGCCAAGGCAACTGAATAAAAACAGAAGCCCCCTTCTTCGCCGGCGTCCTCTTCTACCTCTCAAAATGGTACACAAGAAAAGAACTCGCCCTGCGCATGTCCATCTTCTACTCCGGCTCCCTCATCTCCGGCGCTTTCGGCAACCTCATCGCCGCAGGTATCCTCAAGGGACTGAACGGTGCCCGCGGCCTCGCCCCCTGGAAATGGCTCTACATTATCGAGGGAGCCATAACCTGCTTCATCGGTATTATCATCTGCTTCATCCTCCCAGACTTCCCAGATACCTGGAAAATCCTCGCGCCGGAACTCAAACACGTCGCCAACCGCCGCCTCGCCATCGAAGCCTCAGAGGCCGACGTCGACATCGGCGGGCGCGGCATGAGCCAGCTCACCGGGCTAAAACTCGCCTTCGCAGACCCCAAAACATACATGCTCGCCATAGCCTACATGTCCATCACCGGCGCCTCGGGCTTCCAAAACTACTTCCCCACCCTGACCCGAACGCTAGGCTACGACGACACCATCTCCCTCCTCCTCGTCGCACCCCCCTACATCTTCATTGTCGCCTACAGCCTCGCCCACTCGCACCTCTCCGACCGCCTCGGCAACCGCTTCTGGTTCTTCACCTACCCGATCCCCATCACCATCATCGGCTTCATAATCTTCATGACAACCGACAACGCCGCCTTCGGCCCGCGCTACCTCTCCTTCTTCCTGATGATGTTCGTCTTCGCTATGAACGGCACCTGCTACTCGTGGATCGCATCCGCCATCCCACGCCCGCCCGCCAAGCGCGCCGCCGCCTACGCCTTCATCAACTCCGTCGGCAACTCGGCTAGCATATGGACGCCGTACACGTACCGCGATCAGGACGAGCCGTACTTCCGCCTCGCGCTGGGCGTGTGCATTGCGCTGCAGGTGCTGGCGGCGGCGATGGCGCTGCTGCTGCGCTGGTATTTGACCAGGCAGAATCAGCAGCTGGAGAGGCTGGAGGCGGTGGATGTGCCGCTTGGGGAGAGGGAGATTGCTCAGTTGAGGCGGACGGCGGAGGCGGAGGGGGTGGGGCTTGAGGAGGCGAGGGTTTTGCAGAAGGGATTTAGGTATATGATTTGATCTGTATCTAGCTTTTTTTTTTTTTTTTTTTTTTTTTTCAAAGAGTGAGTGAAGGGGGGTAGAGAGATGAATCTACCTTATGATGCTCCTCTAGTTTGGTTTTTACGCCAAAATGTGAGAAAGACAAATAGAACAAACAAAGCTAATCAAATGAAGTAAAAACCAACCCATCCGTCCCCCACCCTACCATACATATATCTTACTACATTAAAAGCACTTCACAACTTCGCCCACCCCACCCTCTCCTTCTTCTCCATCTCCCTCTTCTCCCTCTCCACAAAATACTCCCGAACCCTCCCCCTCGCCACCTCTATAACCTCCACATCCTCCACCGTCGCAGGCACATTAACCGCCCGCTCAAAATCCCCCTTCTCAACCGCATTCTCCACAAGCTCCCTCAGCACCCGCCGCAGCGTCTTCCCGCTCCGCGTCTTCGGAATCATCCCCTTGCCCTCCCCGCCGCTCTGGATCATGCCGCCTAGCGACGCGATGGCGCCGATCTGGCCGCGGACGAGGTTGTTGACGGACGTGAAGAGGGCGGGTGGTGGGGTGGCCGGGATTGGTGAGTTTGAGTTTGAATTTGAGGAGGCGGAGGTTTTGCGGAGTTGGACAAAGGCGAAGGGGAGATGGCCCTTTACAGGGTCAGGGATGCCGACGACGCTTGCTTCTGCGATGTCTGGGTGGGAGAGGATGGCTTGTTCGATTGCACCTGTTCATAATTGTTAGCATCGAAGAATTAAAAAAAGAAAGGTTTCAATACATAGACAAAGCGAAGAAACGGAAATCATGGGTAAAAGAAAAATAAAAAGAAAAAAGGGTATACGAACCAGTACTAAACCGATGCGCTGCAACGTTAATAATATCATCACTCCTCGCCATCACATGCACATACCCCTCATCATCCACCATCCCCGTATCCCCCGTATCCACCCACCGCCCCGCAAACCGCTTCAAATACCCCTTATAAAACCGCTCGTCATCATTAAACAGCGTCGTAAACGCAGTCGGCGCCAATGGCATCGCCAACACGATATTCCCCATCGTGCCATTCGGCACCTCATCCCCTTCGTCATCGACGATGCGCACATCGAAGCCCGGCATCGGCTTGCCGGCCGACCCGGCTTTGACGGGGAACGGCTTATGCGTCTCCTCCCTGCTGCCCTGATCTAGACCGATGGCACTGCGCAGCGCGAGCCCGGTCATTGGCGAACCGGACTCCGACGACCACCAGTTATCAATCACCATTGCGCCGGGGGCGGCGTACTTGTCGAGCAGATTCTGATAGGCGCGGATGAGGGTGGGTTCGCTCCGTTCGCCGGCAAGGAACAGGCCGCGCAGGTGCTTCAAGCCGCCGCGTTTCCCGACCAGTTCGAAATAACGGCCCTCTGGGTCTTCTTTACGGATTGCGCGGAGGGCGGTGGGCGCGGTGAAGAAGGCGTTTACCCTGTGTTCTTCTATTATGCGCCAGAAGCTGCCTGCGTCAGGTGTGCCGACGGGCTTGCCCTCGTAGAGTACTGTAGTTGCGCCGGCGAGAAGTGGGGCGTAGAGAATGTATGAGTGCCCGACTACCCAGCCGATATCTGAGGCGCAGAACATGACGTCTCCCGGGCCCTTGATGTCGAAGAGGTATTTTATAGAAAGGTTAAGGCCAACAGCGTGGCCGCCCGCTTCCCGGATGACGCCTTTCGGGAGACCAGTTGTCCCTATCAAATTATATTATCAGAATCGACCATCTCCTTCAAATATAGCAGTGGGGGGAAAGGGAGAAACATACCACTAGTATAAATAATATACAATGCCTCATTACTTTTGACAGGAACAGGCGCAGCTCTAATATTCCTCCCCCGCCCACTCTTCACAATGCGCTGCCAATTCCGTTGGCCCTCCAATTTCAACATGGGTTTCCACCGCAGCTGGTCCCGCTGCCAGACAATGACCTTCTGCGGCTTCCATGAGCTCTTGGCTATTGCCCCTTCGACCAGGGGCCTGTAATTCACAACGCCTTTGCTTCCCTCGATGCCGCACGAAGCGGTCATGATTGCCCGTGGCTTGGACGCCTCGATGCGCTGGGCTAGCGATGTTGCAGCGAATCCGCCAAAGACGGCGGCGTGGACGGCGCCGAGCCGTGTTATGGCGAGCGCCGCGAAGAGGGCAGCTGGAACCATGGGCACTGTTAATTCATAGGGGTTTTCGGAGATTAGCAAGCATACGGCAGCGGGGTAGGTAGAGTAAGTAAACTAAGTAATCGATTGTGCTGTGAAACCGATTAAGGACAGGAGCAGAAAACATACTATAAATCAACACAACATCCCCCCTCCTAACCCCCTCCTCCCTCAACACGCCAGCCAACACCTCGACCTCGTCCAGCAGCTGCGCATACGTATACCGACCTTTCACACCCGTCACGGGCGACTCGTAGATGATGGCCACATTGTCTCCATGCCCGCTGAGTACATGTCTGTCGACGCAGTTGTAGGTGGTGGAGATCTCGCCGTCGGGGAACCAGGACCAGTGCTCGTGGCTGATGCCGCTGGCGGGGAGTGTCTTTGTGCCTCGGCGCAGGCTGGCAGAGGGGGGCTTGTGCCAGTGGAGTTGGGCGGCGTGGTGGGACCAGAATTTCTTGAGGGAGCGGAGGGAGAGGGATTGGGTTCTGTCTTGGGGATGGGAGGCCATTGCAGGAGGTTTTATTTTGTGGTGGTTTTATGATGGCGGTGGTTGATGGTATGTATGTATATGTAATGTATGGGGAAAGGAGGTGAAGACTCAGGATCGGAATAGCGAGGGAGGGGTGTCTGTATTGATGGCACAGGGATTCGCTATTTTTGGCTTTCGTGCGACCGACCGTGCTGTTGCTCAATAGCAGCCCAGTCTAGTGTCTGTACATGTACATGTCGATATCTAGCTCGAGATATTTATATAGATCCTCGGGGATACGGTATGGGGTCGTCGTTGTTGCAGTCAAGTCGCCTACGGTGTGGGGTTGGGCGTCGACTGCAACTGGCAGGCCTGCAGGACTTGCCGCGAATTATTAGCCCTGGCCGGCAGCAGGGTCCTTTCGCTGTCCGCAGGTCAGTCTCATCGTGCATCTATCCCACTGTGTTGTCCCTGGAGGTGGAGGTGGAGGGGGAGATGGGTTGGTGTGGAGTTTTACAGTTTTGGGGACCTCGGGGAAATTGTACCCGCAAAGCAGACCTAGCATTATTTAGAGATTCAAACAGAGATAGATCCTATACACTTACCAGCCAAACGAACACTTGCATCCAGTGGTGATAGGGTAAAAAATCACACCAATAGCATTCAGTTAAAATAAACAATGAGAGAAAAGACGTCGCGTAAGATTCTTGTTGCCATTTGAAAAGCCAGAGAGCAACGTATCTAATTTATATAAGATTTCGTTTTTCGACTTTGATTGTTTGCTAAATTGGAATGTTTATTTTCAAATTCCCAGCGCTCGAATACACGCAGACACGCAGAAAGGCTCTCTTGTTCTCAGCGGTAGGGTATAATTTCACCCTAAGCTTAGACCTCGCTCGCACTCCCTCTCCCTCCCCCTCCCCTGCCTCTGCCCTTGGCATTTTCGTATTCGTAATTGCAGCATTTGTTTCCCTTCGAACACCAAACGGAGGAGGTATAAAATTGATTCATTACAAAGGTGCGAAGGGATTGGAGGAAAAGGGGAAAAGGGAAAGTCAAAAAAGGGCGAGGAGGGTGGCTGGTAGGATGGTGGCTGGTGGCTGCTGTCTGGCGGTTGGTAATCAAACAGACAAGAGAAGGCAAGGAAACAGAAAAACAAAATAAACAGGAAATGCAAAGGGAATATGGTTGTAGACAAGGAGACATGGTAGGAAGGAAAAGAAAATCTTCTATCATTTGCTGTTGGTGAAATCAAATTAGCCGTCTGCCCCAGCTCCTCGAACGCAGGAAAAAGGAGGATAAAAAAAAGGAAGAAATAAAAGTACGGAAATCCTAAAGACATTCACATCACATGAAACCGAAGTGGTGGGGGAAGGGAATCGAAAATAAACGATGAAGAAAAAAAAAAAAAAAAAAAAAAGAACGTGAACGTGAGCATGAGACTTCCTTAAAATGCCGGCCGGTAACACTCTAGCTGCAGAAAATAAAAACCCAGCATACAACCACTCGCACAAGCACAAGCACACGCGCACAGACACATACACCCGCAGACGTTCCTGAAACATGAAATGCGACAAATCCCCTGGTCAGCGAATGTCCGCGAAGATTTTTTGTTATAAACTTTCGTTCGGTGTCCGGCCGGACACGTAATCATTGTTCCGAAGCGATGAGAAACCAGCAAAGTTCAAAGAAGTAAGAGTAAAAGGGAAAGTAAAGAAAGCGAGCCGATTCGGGCATCCCATCCCTTAGTCAAATGCGCCGAATAAAATAAAAAGGAGAAATAACGCAACGAGAGAGCACCAAGCAGGGGGAAGTCGATAGAGAATATAGGGAAGTGGCGCGGATGAGGGAAGAAGGGACAGTTCGTACTTCCTAGGCCGATATGCAGTAGTGCGCGTCACGGTAGCGTCACGGTAGCGTCATCCCACGTTGCAGGCGTAAAAACGAAACAGAGCCCGGTGTAGGGTGGTTCGGAGGAGTGTTGTTGTTGAGCAAGACAGTAAATAGAAGTCGTAGAAAAGGAGACATGGAGTTAATGACAGCCGTACAGTGCCGAAATATGAAGTAGTAGGTGCGTCCGCGGTCCACACCAATCCCAGCAATAGCGTAAAACGGGAAAATATAGAAAATCCCAGCGATCGAAATGTTGCATCATTTCTTTCTGTTTGATAGTTCCATCATGCATCTCTTTCTGTAAATATTTTCTTCCTGGTTTTTATCTGGTTTTTATCTGGTTCTTTTTGTGTTTGATTTCCCCCTCTTCTATTAATTCAGAGGATCAGACATTTTAAGCCCCGCCCATGTCCTCTTTGGCGATTGTTTTGGAATCTTGCCGGATTGTCTACCCCGTTCTCCCCCCGCTGCGTACCAGGCGCTCTATTAAGTGGTTGTCGAACGCCCTGTTGTTGCCGTTGTTGCCTGAGCAGGCGAACTACATCATAGAATGCCTTCTCCACATTGATGCAGTTTTTAGCTGAGGCTTCAACGAAATCGCATCCAAGCTCCTTAGCCAGCGCGGACCCTTCCTGTGAAGAAACCGCTCGTTCGATAGCCTTGTCGCTTTTATTCCCCACTAGCATCACCGGAACTTTCATGCCGGGAGGTGGGGAGTTTATGGGGGCTCCAAGATAGCTGGCACCTGTTGGTGATCCAGAGCTTGCTGACTCCTTGACCAGCTGAATCTGGTGGTGGAACTTTTGTATCCGGGTGAACGAAGAGCGCGATGTGATACTGTAGACCAGCACAAAACCCTCGCCATCTCTAATCCATTGGTCCCTCAAGGCGGTGTATTCTTCCTGTCCCGCAGTATCCAGCACCTCCAGCATGCATGCTTGCTGGTCAATAACAACTTGTTTGCGATAAGAATCTTCAATGGTGGGGTCGTATGTCTCAACGAAATGGTTTAGGCACAGCTATCGTAGTGTAAGCAAGCGCCTTGTCACACAAAAAGCGTCACCTGCTTTCGAATGTGGAAAAGGGAGAGATTTTGTACGGGGTACGAACCTGGATAGTGAGGGCGGTCTTGCCTACACCTCCGTCTCCCAGCACCACCAGCTTGTACAGCTTCATTTTCCCCGCCATTGCTGCGGAAATTGTGGCGTCTGATAGAATGCCTCGCGAGCAAGAGCAGGACGAAGAAGAAGATGAAGGGAAAAAAAAAAAAGGGAGGGGGGGGGAGGGAGAAGAGAAATAACCGAAGAAGGGTTTAGAAAAAGCGCACAAGTGCGTTAGCGCCCGAACGAAGCCTACAGGCTGTTTTCCAAGCGGGGATGATAACGATTCGCAAAGATTCGCCGTTTCCCACGTATCGATATCGATAAGAAAGTGAAAACGCAGAGCCAGGCAGCTGCCAGAATGCCAAGATCTGGGGAGAAATAAAACGGAGGCGGGGGTTGGACCAAAGCAGCTCTGGTAGGTGAAAGAAAGGGTCTCTTTTTGTTCTTCAGGCGAGAGGCATCAAGGCATCAGAAATCCACTTCCAAGGTAGTAAGTAAGTAGAAGTTAGCAAGAAAAGGATCGTAATCGACGAGCTGGAGGTCAAGAGGAAGAAATAAATGATTAAAATTCAAAAATAAACCCTTAGATGGGACGTCGTCATTGGGGGAGGGAGACAAGAGCAGTATCGGATGAAGCACGCGCAGGGAATGCGACACAGCGATAGGCTTCGATGCTGTACAGCGTTGGGTCAGAAGGAGCTTACCTCTTGTGCCAATGGCTGGATAAGAACGACGGACGGCTGTTACACACTGACAGGCAGAGAGGCGTGGGAGGGGCGCAAGAGGAGATAAGGTAGAACTAAAAGTGTCCGGTGCACTTTGTCCGAGGTAGCACACAGGACCAGCTCTGAGAGGATGCAAATTATCACGGACAGCAGAGAAAGGCGAGAAAGGACATCTGCATAGAGATAGAGGGTGGGCTGAGTGATAGACCGGAGTCCCTTGAACTTCTCTGTAGCCGACAAGCACAGAATCGACTCGACGACGGGGAACAGAGCAGAACAGAGCAGAACAGAACAGAACAGAACAGAACAGACGAGAGCAGGCGAGAGCAGACGTTGAGGTTGAGGTTGAGTGAGGTTGAGGAGGCGAGGACAAACGGGCGGACGAGCGACGAACGAACGAACGAACGACGGCGGCGGCGGCGGCGGCGGCGGTGGAGAGACGGACAGAGACAGCGCCAGCACGTGAGGGAAAGGGAACCGGCGGGAAGATCCAGACACGACAGACAGGACAGGACAAGACAGGACAAGACAGGATAAGACAGGATAAGATGAGATAAGGAATGGTTAAATCAATAAATAATAATGCCTGGAAAATCGCTGACTATGCCGGAAGAAGAGAAAATAAGAGAAAATGATAGGTTGGTGGGCGCGGGATAATTATTCTAAATTCTATTTACTGGTTGGGTGTGGGAATAACAAGAATAGTAATAATAATAATTATTATTGTTATTATTGTTATTGTAACAATAATAACTAATGATTTAATTATAAATAACTCCGTCAATATTACTGCGCATTATCATTAACTAATATTACCACTTACCAATTTTATTCCCCCCTTCCCCCCCCGGCGCCCGCGGGCAAAAAGGCAGCCAACAGCCCGAGACACGCCAAGCGTACAGGGAAGCTTCGGTTAAGAGCGTCCTCCCTCCCCTCCTCCCGTGGTAGACTGGTAGTTAAAAGAAGGCCCAAAGAAGGCTCCCATCAGCCCCCAAGAACCCCCAAGGACCAGCGCCACTCTCCCAAGATTCAGGAAGCGGGGAATTAAATAAATTAAAAAAAAAGCATTTGGGCTCCTCCTACTGCTAACTTGTTGATAAATAAATAATTTTTTTTTTGTACTATCACTCCAATAATGCTCCATCCTATCCAGCAATCCGTTCAATTATCATTGCTAGGTGAAAAACACAGACTGAAGGACCAAAAACAAACAGCAGCGTTGGGTGGGAGAGGAGAGGGGAAACTCATCCATATTAACAACCCTCCAGTAACAATGATTTGTTCATTATTACTTCTGAATTCTGGACTATCCTAGTGCAGTGAGTGCAGTGTGTCCTTGTCCCCAAGTTGAAGAAGCCTCTTGTTATTCTTCGTTAGTTACTCGTCTCGAGGTCCCTTCTTCCACTCCACAACGAATCAGAAGAAATGCGCAGCGTAAATGCTACTACTCGCTACGACTAAGGAGCGACGAATAATAATAGCCCAGACGGCCCTCTTCAATAAATTTTCGTCCTCTTCTCCACCCTAAGAGCTCCTTAGTCCTTTAGCCCAAGGAACCATGCGGGCACAGGGTCTTCAGTCTACTAGAGAACAACACGGTCTGGTCTGTACGGAGTACTGCGTACAAGCCTAACGAAATGAATAACAAGCCAAAACCACGATGAAGAAAACGATTTACACTCTCACCGTCGTCCTGCTGGCTGCTTGACAAGCTGCAACAACCGGTTTCGTGGATGTTCATGTATATCGATCTGTATGTATGTGAGCTTCCCCCTTCTTGGTTTTGTTCTCCGAGTACCGGGCCAAACTATATATAAACTCCCCACGGCAAACCCGCGCAGAAACAGAGTGTGGGAGAGGAAATTTTGGAGTTTAACCATCTATTATTTTAGCTCATGCTGAGACAGTATCCGCACTTCTTGGCTCTGCTCTACTCTTTCTTTCGCTCGTGCCCGGCTTCGGGTGGAGATACGCAACCAAGATCGCAGAGAGCAGTAAGCTTGGAAAGCTTCGAGGAGAGCGAATTTACGCAGTACACCCATTTTATTGGCGCGCTTTTGCTGCGAGGCCATGACCGCCGTCAGGTTACAGAGTATTTTGGCTACGATCCACTCCTGGCTGGTCAAAATGTGCGGAATATCCTGCATCATATGCAAGTCTGGCTTGTTGGCTTGCTGGCTTGCTGGCCAATAATGGCGTTATCTACACTTTACTTGGCTCGCGAGTTCTTGTCAAGCAACAGGACAGCAGGATAACTAGAGAGGTTTTTAACTTTTTTTCGTCCCCTATTATTACGTTATTGTGTGTGATGCATTTGAAGAGGTATTTTGACTTTTGACTTCACCCTATGAACATACATCAATAACGCTCCATCGTCGACATTTATCACATTATATAATAGTATCCGACCAGGATTCCTTCCGATGCATCGCTCTCGTCTCGTGGCGGGCGCGGGACCTCCATCCCCCTCCTCCACTCCTCCCTCCACTCCTCTCCCCACGCATCCGCCGTCCAGTGGGCCGCTGCGCTGTTCTTCCGAGTCGAGACCTCACAGGACTCCAGGAGTGGGTGCCTTTATGCCGGAAGAGGCAAAACGTGGAGATGGAAAATGAGTTTGTCAAACTTGACACTGTTGACAGCCCGACCCCGAGCGGCGCTGGCTCTGGCGCTCGGATACTTTGCCAAATGATAATTGCTCGAGCTATTTTTTCCCCTTTTTTCTTCTTTTTTTTTTGGGTGGTTTTTTGTGGTTTCTATCTCCCGGTAGTTAACTAACAATGATGATATAATAAATGATATCGAGCTTGCAAGCCCGTCCCGTTCAACATACCTCGTAGAAACGCCGGTATATATTCTTCTACATGACTGTATTTATCATTATCTTGCTGTAGATAAAGAAGCAACACTCCTCCTCCTCCTCGTCCTCCTCGTCCTCCTCGTCGTTGATGGTATCAATACTGCGCACATTCATGTCACAAATCACCATCACACTGGACCATGTTTTTTATTGTTGGAACGAGCCGTCCAATCATCGTCCATAATACACATCACACAAGGCCTCTGGCACGATATGTGACACTCCCCGTTTCAGACACTACAAACTCTGATAATAGATTCCTTGAAATAGTTCATCAAGACGGTAGCTGAAGCATGGATCCAGAAGAAAGAAAGAGATAAAAGAAAGAAAAAAGGGGACATCATATCATGCCGTTTCATTTCATCTGCCAGCCAGGTCGATAATAATAGAGTAATTAATGAGGATTGCTCAAAAGGTACTTACTTCCCTTCATTCTTCATTCTTTCTGGAGTCAAGGATACATTCCTCTGCCCCCCGTAACTACAGGAGAGGAGAAACTTCTTCTCAACTTACTCTAATAGGATCATATTCTTTTTCCCTTTCGTCCCCTCCCGGCCCGTACACGTATCGTATGCGTTGTATTGATATCAGGCTTCCTGGCAATTTTACATACTACTAGTAGTACTAGAAACCCCCCGCCGACTTGATGAAACATCAAGAAAAACAGGGCCGATGGGAAGTTCCTTTGGGATTGGTTGTTTCTTGAAAGAAGAAGAAGAAGAAGAAGAAGAAGAAGAAGAAGAAGAATTGCGCTCGCCCGCTGGTTGATAGGTTCCATCTGTATCCTCGTTACAGGCTTATCCCGTCTTAGGTAATAACCCCTCAAAATTGGCGCGGCTACTATGACGAATATAGGGAATGGAGAGTTTACAAGACCAACCCAATTAATCGATTTGCAGATATCAGAATCGAGAGCTAAATATCAGAACTGGGGGTAAAAAACCGAACCAGCGCAAGGTTGCATCGCCCCTTGTCTGGAACCGCACGGCTGGCGAGCAACATTTGCATTTGCAGAGAGGGAAATCAGTCACATCAGTCACAAGCATCTCAGTTGGCTCACCAGCAGCTGCATAATGCAACCTTGGGGGGGAGTGCGCTCTTCCCGGAAAAAAAAAAAAAAAAAAATTCAATCCAAAATGGAAAAGGCCTGATACCATACCCCCCGGGGCATTCGGGATGTGAATGGAAATATATATAATCCGCCAATCAGTTGTTTCAAAAAGAGAATGGGATGGATTGCTTCATACAGGAAGAATTCGAGTTTCGCTTGTATGATGATGCGTACAACTTTCCACGAACGGCCCGTTCTCTTTCAAGGATAGTTACTCCGTACACATTTCTTACAGGGAATGAGAATTTTCGTTTCCCGATTGTGGCTCCCCGGAGGGAGACGCTCTGATGGCAAACCCGCAATAAGCACAAAGCTTATCCATTGAAACCAGCATGAAAAAGATAATAATACTATTTCGCTCTCCGAGTCGCTGCTCATCAGCCCTCGTCAAAACCGGGGACCGTACGCGGCGCTGCGTATATGCCCGTTCCGTTATCCCGTTAGCCTAGTGATTGTGGCTTACGGGGGTGAAGATATCTGGACTGTTTTGCAATCACATTCGACAGATTCATTCATTCATTCATTCATTCATTCATTCTTATTTTACCCGCCCTGTACTCTGTACTCTGTACAGAGTACTCCGTAGGTGAAAGCAAATGCGCAAAGTTTCGCCCAGGCAAACGAAAGCAAATTGCCATATCCATGGATAGAAGTAGCACCACGACATGAGTGGTTAAGCGTAATCCGTGTCTACTTGTCTACTTGTCTGCTTGTCTGCTTTCCTTTGCGGGTTGGGTTGGGCTCCCCTACACTACTAACTACCCGGATACAATAATAATACATGTAACCGTCGTCGAAACTGGCACGAACACACCTCGAGGCTAGCGGGAGAGAAGGCCACTAGCGAACGGTAACTAGTTAGTTACATAAATGCAGAGCAAAAGAGTAAGCAAAATTTTCCGAACCATCTCAACCATAACTAAGTTACCCCTTTCACCACGACACATTATTAGGCGCAGGCGCAGGGAAAAATCCAGTCACTCACTCACCTATTTCCAACAACCGCCGCCCCTTTCATGCAAGTGAGCATGCAAGCATCATCACTACGGACTTACTCTGTTGCCTTGTAGATTAAAACAACCCCCCCCCCCCCCCCCGCCCCTCTTTATTTATTTTTTATTTTTTTTCTTTCCCCAAAAACCCTGTCCATTTTCGCTTTCTGAATAGGGAAAGCTATACGACTCCCTGCTAATTCGAATGGCACCCTCACAGGCTCACATCCAAGCAGGCCATGGGGATGCGCGGCTAGCTGAAGATCCCCCCCTGGCCGACAATAGATTAATTAGGCGGCGGCCCTTTTTCTCCCAGGGCAAACACAGAGAAAGAGAAAGGGAAGGGGTGGGGGTGTTGGGGGGGGGGGTTGTCTGGCAGTCGCCGTTCCTATCAAATAATAGCTGGATTATCCCTTCGTCTGCTCTCACCTTGTTCGTTAGGGCCTTGCATCATCAACCTTAGAAACTGCCGTGGGCGGCCGAAACGGTCAACGGTCCGGGGATGGGTATGGTATCTCGTTGCTCCACCTCTTCCTCTTCCTCTCCCTCTCCCTCTCCCTCTTCCTCTTCCTCCCCCTTGCGCGAAATTACCCACTTTTCCACCGGGGCAATGGGGCTTTCCGCCGCTCTTCCACGCGGCTATGCTATGGAGCTTCTTTTGCAGCATAAGCCGCTTGTAGCTTCGAACAGAACATCTCATTTTAACCCCATGCTTCGTGGAGGGTGCCTTAAATTGCAGCGTAGTTAGGAAGCGGGTCGATTTTTCTTCTTCGGAGTCAGTTCGCGGCATTCGCCATGTGGCTTTATTTATTTATTTATTTTAGTTCTTCCTGAACCCCCGACTGATTGTCTTCAATGGGATCTACGCTGTATGTACGGAGTATATTGGCACAAGCACAACAGGTAACAGGACAAAACTCCGCTGAAATGTCTGAGTATTTCCCAGGGGTTGTTTGGGTTGGCTGTACAGAGTATTCAAGGCTCATAATGGAGGAGGAATCTTCTGGGAAAGGAAATCATGATTAACCTATAACTATGCTCTACATATATAGCTGTGAAATCCAAACACCACCAACACCACCACCACACATGCATATTCATGAACGAGAGTTGAATTAAGATGTTATGTCTCAGATTGGAAACCTGATCGCCTTGACCTATCATAATGATGATTTCAATGGCAAAATATCGGGGGATGGACCAGCAGGAACGACTTTGTCCGGGTTGCCCATTTTAACTTGCAGGGCGGAAAGATATGCTATTTTGTACTGGTTAATTTTGTCAGTTAGCATTCCCGATTCAATTTCGAAATGGAAATGGATGACCCTTCCAAGACGAAACAAAAATTGTTGGGAAAAATGAAAGAAGCAAAAAGGCTGACGGTCAACTCACCACCTCAAACTGCGTCGTTTTCCTAAAAGCTCCACCGTTCGTCTTCTCCGATTCATCCCAATACAAAGTCCTCAACCACCGATCAATCCGCGGATAGTCATGCCGGATCATTTTCAAATTACACTTGAAAATCCCATGATACGCCACATCGAAGCGGATAATGGTCGTATACAGCCTGATGTCCGCCTCGGTGATATGTTCGCCGAATAAGTACGGCTGATGGCCCGGCTGGCCCAGATGCTCTTCAATGCGGTCGAGCGACGCAAAGAGCGGATAGATACTCTGATCATACGCCTCCTGCGTCGTCGCAAAGCCGCATTTATACACCCCGTTATTCACCGTCTCGTACACCCATTCGTTCATCTCGTCAATCTGTCCCCGGAGGTTTTCGGGATATAGCCCGCCGCCAGGCCTATTAACCTCGCGCCGCGCCTCGTCCTCGCCAACCAGCAACTCGTCAAACTCCTCGTACAGAAACCGAATAATCTCGCCGCTCTCGTTGCTCACGATCGTCTCCTTCTTCTTATCCCACAGCATCGGAACCGTGAAACGGCCCTCATACCGCGGGTCGGCTTTGAAGTATAACTCCTTCAGATGCTTGAAGCCGTACAGCGGATCTGCGTCTGCGCTGCCGTATTCGCCGGAGAAGTACCAGCCGTCCGCAGTGAAGCGTGGGTCCAGGACGACGAGCTGGATTATAGATTCTAGCCCCTTCAGCGAGCGCACGATGTTGACGCGGTGCGCCCAGGGACAGCCGGTGTTTATGTAGAGGACATATCGGTCCCGTTCGGCGGGGAATGGGGCGGTTGGGGAGCGCGAGATGCTGGAGCGGAAGGCGGAGGATGGTCGTTGGAATTGGCCTTCCGGGTTGGCTTTTTGGTTGGTAAGTGCGTTCTGCCGGGTGGTGGTGGGGTGGTCAGTATATGCGGTCATTTTAAGTGCATACATACGTGCCCTACTGTCTCTGAATTTATATCATAGGGGGGTTAGTTACCTTGTCTGCCATTCTTGGTGCTAGATATTGATTGGTATGGAAAGTAAACGGTATTGGAGGGGACAATCAGGGCAAGAAATGATAGAATTATTTCATTCTTACCAAGTAAACATATGCCGCGAGAGAGAATATCCTTAGGAACCTACGGAACGGATTTACCCCCCACACCAGAGCCCCCGAGAGACGCCGAGCAGAAAATAGCGGGGCGGAGCGGATAGCCGAGCGAGGGGCAGGCCGTGATGAGGTCATCGTCGTCCCCTTTTAAACCTACTTGAGGATTTGCTTCCCGTTTTGGTGCTCAAGAGATGCCAAAAGAGAAGGAAAAGGGTCGGTCTGGAGCGCAGATCTCAGCAGTGATTCCAAATAAAATACTAGTTCAATTATGTGATTAGACAACATCAATCAATAATAATGGCGGGCGTGTGTACTTAGGTCTTCGTCTGTCTACATTATTGATAAATATCCGCGTTCGCACTGGCCTTGATGAAGCCTTTGTTCTTCACCTTCACGATATTTCCATATTTGTGATTTTTTTCCCGCTTCCCTCCGCTCCCGCCATAAGCATCCGTATGTCGTAAGACATCTATCTGACGGGCGGGAGTGCGAGCGGGAGGGTGAGAGGGGGTGGGGTGGGGCAGGGGGTTCAGTGTTTTATATTCCTCGGTTTCACGTTGTTTGCAATCAGTGTCCGCCCCCCGTTGTGGTCTTCCCTGTGGAGATGGCACTGGCGAGGCTACATTGTAGAGGGGGAGAGAATTGAAACCTTACTCAGGCGTGAGGACCAATTTGTTAAGCAATTGTTTCTGTGGCCTGTCGCTGGCGCTTGGTCTAGGTCATGAGCATTGAGCATTACATCTTCCTATCTTTAAACACTGACACGGGTGATTGACCCAGCTAACTCCCTATTCGATCAATTCTATCCTCAATTCTTATGCAAAGCCTATCAATTTCCTACTGTTGGATACAACGGGATTAAGCATCTAACAGTTCTCGACAATCCCCCCCCCCGCCCGGAGCCAGCCAGGGTAGAAACAACATCATCTAATAGAAAGAACATCATCATCCTGGGAGAGCTCCCCCATTGTGATATTTGGAATGGTCTGTATTGCCAATTTGCTTGCTTTGCTTGGTGTAAACTGGGCTGCTGCTATGATGGTTGCAGCTGCATCACTGTTGGCGCATTGAGAGGGAAGAGGGGTGATGTGGTGATGTGGTAATGTGTATTTTCCTACCGTCACTTAATTCATAGCCTCCTTTTTTCTTTACTTCCCTTTCGTTACCAGATCCCGTAGGACAAAGGTGGGGGGGTATATGAGAGGTAAATAAGTATATAGATAAATAGAGACCAAAAAAATATATCTTGAAAGTGCAATCATTACGTACTTCGTTTTCAGAATTGGTACTATTTTGCCAGACAAATGGCAGAACTGTGTCTGCCCTCTATACCGAGAAACCAATATGTGGCATCGTGGAGGTAGATATCTATTCGGTCCAAGGGCTTTCAAATGTGATGCTCCGACTTGCAAGGGCGTAAAAACAGTCCCTTATTTCTTTTTACTTGACATCGTTGAGTACCAAGGACCCATCCATACATGACAGAAAGAAGTGGCACGAGAGGTATGGACATAGATATACTCATTAGCGAGGACATGGTGCAGGATATTTTTCCTGATCTGTTTGTCTAGAAGAGGTTGTCTGCTTCTGTGGAAAGAAGCACATTAAATATTCATGTGAAGAAACGGAGAACACCAAAGCAAGGTGTGTAAATCAGACCCTTAGTGTCCATGACTATACTTGAATTATTGACCATGAGATAATGCAGATATCTCTAGTTATTCTCCGCTCAGATGAGGAAGAAAACCCATTGCGCCATTGGCAGAAGGGACGAAATAGAGTAGTAGGCATATGCGAAAGACAACACATAAGCCAAAGAAAATGCATAGCCATATGGTATCCAGATTACAGGAGTCCTGAGGGCTGTTGTCCATGTGATGTTTGGAAACCGTTTGTAATTCAGTTCCCTTGTTGAATTTGCATGTCAATTGCTCTCCAGGTCTTGATAGAAGCTGTTGCATGGTGCGGAAATGTGATGTTTTACCTGTAGCTTAGCAGGATATATATCTCAGCTCTCCTTTTGAGGACGTCAAGACCAAAATAAATTTCTAATCCTCAGACACCTAACTCCAGTTCCATTATAAATAAGAATGTTTCCTCTTTCTTTCTTTCTTTCTTTCCTTCCTTTCTTCACCAATTGGTTGCAGTAGAAATCGCTGCGCTTCACATGTAGGAAGTTAGGCTCCAAGGGAAGAAGAAGTAGCGGTGAGGAGAGAGGAAGTCAAATAAAAAGGGGGCAAGCGGAGAAAATGCGAATCCCAACAAGATTGGATAGCTTTTATTTATTTAAACCCTGGATGTGCAAGGAAAATGCAGACCTATATAAGAGTTAAACCGCGAAGTTTTGTTGAAGCGAGGATGGATGCCAGGGGTGGGGTGAGGTGGTGAACATTTTCTGGGTAGGCAAAAGGGTCTTCGCCTGTACATGTACGGAGTACAGTACGTAGTATATATTCCGATTGACTTTCGGGAGCTAGATTAGAGAGCCAGAGAAATGAATGGACCCTTTCGAGTGACAGAAGCTTGTTTGTAAGAGAGAAAAGAAAAGGAGGCGAGAATTGTCCATAACGAACATACCGACAGGAAAACAATATTGAACATAAAACAACAAGGATGAGAAATCACCAAAATATCCAACAGAGTGAACATGTACTGCGCCGCATACATGGAAGGTAATAAATATAGACGGGAGATGAAACCGTGATAGAAAGTCGTTGCATGAATAACGAGAGCAAAAATGGGGCGAGTCCGGGACTCAGGTGTATATATAAAATATCTTAATGCACACGAGCCTCTGTGTACAAAGACATTGCAGAGCTAAGCTCAAAACAGAAGACTCTGCAAGATTGATTTTACAGCTTATTAATAAAAGAGATAGAACTGTAACTACAGTGAAAGCATGTCTCTAAAGATGAAATAAGGTTGACTTGAGAATGAGTTGAATGATGACACAGATGATTGATGAAAGACTGAAGAGAGATCTATAGAACTGAGAGATGAATTAATTATTAAAGATAATAACTGCAGCTGTTTTCTTAATTGAGTTAAGAATGAAGTTAATAAGAGATATTCTCTATAACATCTGATAATATAGTGAGCTCTTTGAATGATAGTTTTCTTTTTATAGACTGCTGTTAATAAAGATATATCAGAACTATAAATCTCACAGTAATAAAACTTAATCTCAGATAATATATCTGTTTTAATAGACTGTTCACAGACTGTAAGAAATCTCACTTCTTACAGATTCTTTATCTCTATTTTCTATCTCTTATGTAATTAATAGAGTTAGCAGCTCTTGATTATATACAACTATATAGACTGAAGTTCATAAATACTATTTATAACTCAGCTTGAATACTATTATATATTAACTTTTACATTTTATCTTTCTACTGTGAATACTTCTAGTAGTTAACAGTATATATTATATCAAGCTGTAAACATCTGAATAATCATCTGTAAGCACTTATTCTTACACAGATTTAAAAGACTGCTATTAATTATATAAAGTGTTGATATATCTAGAATGATAGAGAGAGTTCAGACTTATTTATCACAGAATCTATGACTCTAGAAGAATCTGATTTTACTGTACATATTCATTTTCAGTTCTACACAGTGTAAAGAGATAATCAGTGATAGAAAAGATGTAATAAGTAGACTGATTATATAACTGTGTCTGTAAGAATAAGTGCTCATAGATGATTATTCAGGTGTTTGCAGCTTGATATGATATATACTGTTAACTACTAGAAGTATTCACAGTAGAAAGATAAATATAGAGATTAAATGTATAATAGCATTCAAGCTGAGTTATGAATAGTATTTGTGAACTTTAGTCTATATAGTTGTGTGTAGCCAAGGGCTGCTAACTCTATTAATTATACAAGAGATAGAAATAGAGATAAAGAATTCATAAGAAGTAGAATTTCTTACATACTCTCTTCTCTCTAAGACTTCATCTGTGAAGTCTTTCACTGAGTGACTTTATAGAATCAACTCAGCACTGCAGTGATACTCACTAAAAACTCTTCATATTTATAAAAAAAATCTCAGTGAGAAAAAATCTCTTATTATTATGAAGAGAAAAGAGTCTGTCACTCAGTTTCTTATTTTATAAAATTCTTTATAATCTACAGATTCTTCTCTGACTATTACACAGATTTATCTCACATCTTTTATATAAAAGAGTTTCAGTTGACTCTCAATTATTTTCATGAGATTCTTGTGTAATCATTACACAGATTCATCTTACAGATGAATCACTCTCTGTGAGATCACTCTTATCAAAGAGAAGTATTCACAAGTTAATTTTTCACTCATTCTCATAAATCATTGTTTCTTAACACTGTAGAATTGTGAGGAATTTTCCATTCTTTCATTAACTCTGTAGAATTATAGAATCAAGATATCTGTAGTCTGCAATCACTCTTTATAGTTGTCACGTCTCTGGCCGCGCCAAGGCCTCACTGTGGTTTTACACAGCTCATTACTTTCATGTGAATGATTTCATTCATTCTGCAGACTATTCAAACTGGTTTTCAATCACTCTATAACATCATTTGAATATATCATAGAAAGATTCAATTGATGAATAAGAGAACTCTGCTTCTATATAAGATCAGTAGATTACTCTTTCTTAGTAGTAAGACACTGCTGAGATATCACTTCAGTTATTCTTACTCATAAAATGAGAGAAGAGTATCAGCTCATTATCTATATAAAATAACTAGATACTAACTTCTTATTAAAGAAGTCAGTGATTCATTTTTCTTTTACTGAAATATATACAAGAGTTACTGTGTTTCTTATATAATCTTCTTAGTATATTAAGTATCATATCTGTGATATTCTTGTAATAACTCTGTAGCTCACAAGCTCACTATTCAAGTAAGATAGTTAAGCTCACTTATATAACTTCTTAAATAACTATTTCTATATAATATCACTGACTAGTCACTGCTTCAGTTTCATTATATTATAATTTAAATTACTTAATCTGATTACAAGTTTGAATCAGTTAAGCTCTAATAGACTGATATAATCTTATATATCTGTACTAAGACTGATCTGATCTCACTCTCTGAAGAAAACTCTACACTATTCTCTAGAGTGTATACATCTCTACTCTGACAGAAATCTGAGATTTCTGAACTTACTATATACTTTAATATAAGTTCTTTAATTACTCTATTACTGCTACAGTCTCTACACATCTACATCTATTATAAAGATAGAGAGATTAAGATTGAAGATTCTCTGAAATATAAGAGAAATATATTATCTGAATTTCACAGCTTTATCTATATTCTTGAATGAAAATTCTGTCTTAATCTGAGCTAGTATAATACTTATAAGATATAAGTAATATATATTATTAATCTTCTTGAAGACATCTCTGCAACTACTTGAATTATTAAGAAGAGAGAGCTTGAGTATACTGATACTATAATAACTTAGAAAGAATTCAAGAACTTTCTACTGAATTAAATTAAAGATTACTATAACTGTGACTTCACAGTAGTACAGTAGTTTAACTTATTATATTAATAGAATAATAAGAATTCTTCTGATTTCAATGTAAGATTTAAAGAATATTGAGAGAAATTAACTGATAATTTGA